TGAACCGTGAATTGACGCGCACAGAGAGGAGAGAGGTTTTGTTGTACCTCTTTTTTCGTCGATGCGAGCCCCGGGGACAAATTGATTTTAAACGGTTAACGCGGATTTTCTTTCGCGTTTAAGCTGATAATTAATTCAGCTCGATGAAATTGCTCGATGGATGGGAGGGGAGAAGAGAGTGGAGGGAAAGATTCTCGCGAATTCGCATGGGAGTAAGAACGTGGCGAGAAAGTATCGTTGTAGGCGAGATCTAAGGTAATGGAATGGCGCTGGTGGGAAAAGGACGGGATATGAGACACGGATGAACCAAGATCGGAGGAATGGTATAATATAAGGGGAATGGGAGTTGGAGGACGAACTTGGCAAATAAGAACTATGGGGTAGCGGAGTTGCGAAGCAGAAGAATACTCTCGACGTTGACAACGATGGAATGAGACTGTCGTTGAAAAACACTATGTTTCTTCTCTTTCTTTTCTTTTACCCTCGTTGCTTATTTATTTTTTTTTTTTATAAATCTATTAATTTCGTTGCCAAATGGATCTACTAGCCGTACGAACTTCTCAAACTTTGAGATCTCTTTCTCTCTCTCTCTCTCTCTCTCTCTTTGGACACTAAACACATTTACATACACATTTTTCCCCCTTCTATATTATTCTCTTATTTCCTCATTCCCTAATATTTTCTCGTTGACCACGAGACGAAAGACGAACGTTGCACATAGGATTGGACAACATAAATAATGCCCACACATTCATTATACAACATTAGACGGATTTAAATTCTCTCTCGTTAAAGGAATGATACATTAACCCCCGTGGTTTACGTGGAGGCCCTTTTGTTCCGGTTACGAATTCTGCGTAAACAGGGATTAGCAGCGGGAGAGAACGTTACAACAAGTGTACGTATCCCGATACGTCGCCGCACAGCCCTGTCCCTATCTTGTGTGCGCCGTTTCAAATATAAACCTCGAATATAAACCGCGACTACGTTAAATTACAATTCACTGACGAAACATCGTGATCGCGTTACGCATCTAGCTTTTCGCCTCTCCCTCGATTTTCAATCATATTGCTACCGTCTAACCACCCTCCCTCTCCCTCTCCCTCTCCATCCCCGGGAAACAGTTTAATTCGCGGTGGAATCGTGGAATCGTAGGAGAAAAGGGGCGGTGATGGTTTACACGACGGCTGTAGCGGTCGGTCTAATGGACGCGGAGAATATTCGCCGGTCGATAAATCGATGCAGTTAAAGCGCTTGGTCGATGGCCAACGATTAGGAGATAGGTAGACAGTCATAAAGTACCGGCTTGGAAATGACTTTATTTTAATAAAGACTCGCTAAATTGCAAAGCACTTTGCTAAAACGATTACGCGCGGGGGAAATTGCTTTTAGCGCCACAATTACGTTCGCACGTCGCCTTGCACTCGCCGCCGCCGCCGCCGCCGCATCGCTGTGCAACTCCTCCCCATCCCTCCCAGCCCAGCCTCCTCCCCCGTCGCGGCAAGATCCCGCCACGGCTTCTTTCCGTTTCGTACGACTCAACCGTCCGCCCTTTTATCGTCGATCAGGGGATTTTAACCCTCGACACAGTGCTCGTAGATCCTTTCGATAGATCCTCCGATGTTCTCACCGATGTTAACACCGATTTCCACCTGTTCCTCGTGATTTACATTCGCGCGACAAAGCGAACGATTCCAAGCCGCGCTTGGTTTGATCGTTTCGAGCTCGGCATCGAGAAGGTAAAGGGATCGAGTCGAACGACGAGTATTTTACGGTCGCTCTTTTTCGAGGCCCCCCTCCCTCCCTCGATCCATAAAAATAGAAGGAAATCTGTAACGTTTCCCAATGTAAAACTGTTGCTTTTGGAAAACTGCTTTGACCCCTCCCCCCTCTCCCTTGTTTTTCTTTTTCGAGAAACGGATTTCGCAATTTTTTTTACGAATTCGTAATTCCCTCGCGAAACGGGGAAATGGCGCGTCCATTCCTCCTCTCGTTCGTAAAGTTAATTGCGAACGGAGGGGAATTGGTTCTCTCGGTTTCCGTTTCATCGGCGCTCGGGCAAAGGTAATTCTCCCATTGCCGCGGGAACAATGTGTTACTCCGGTAGTTCGATCCGTTCGACGGATATATTCGCGGGATGATCCAATCTTCGGACCTCTAGCCCTCCATCTCCTCCGTACCTTCGTGTGCTTTCGTGCCGCAAAAACTTCTTTAATCTTGCCTTAAACGTTCAAGGAGGTTCCTCTCTCTCTCTCTCTCTCTCTCTCTCTATTTCTCTTTCGATATTCGGTCACGAATTAAACGTCTGAAGAATCTGAAAAAAGAAAAAAAAAAAAAAAAGGGAAAGAAAGTGAAATAGCGCGCTTAGCTCGTGAAATACGCGGAGAATTCAAAAGAACTTACGAAACACCTTCTCTTCTAGATTCCAACAAGAGCATGGCGAAGGAAAATTTATTATTGTCGTTATTGGAAGGATTTTTATCTTGGGATTTCAACTCGACTAAAATTAAAAGGATACTTTTCTTTTATATTTTCTTTTTTTCTTTCACAAAAAAAAATGGAGGAGGGCAGAGAAATTCGGGCGAGTTGCATATGACGTTCGGATGCGGGTGAAACCGGGTAGATGGCTCGGTGAAACGAAGGGAGGTTGGAAGAAGCGAGGGAGGAGGGTGCAGGTCGTCTCTCCGGCGGCGAGACGAGCGAGTGTAAGACTAGAATGAGGGGCAAACGTGACGGCAGGGCCGTGAAGCGAATCAAACGATTTTACGCTCCAAATTCCAGCTCTTTGAATCAGCCAGCGTGGAGAAGCCCTGTAAGAAATGGCAAAAAGTACAGTTATTTCGTTTCCCGTTAAAGTGGCTGTATTCGTTTCCCCGTATCGAGTCACTCGTCCTTCCGCAGCCTTCGCGGAATTGAAGATTGTGGGTCAACGAGACGCGAAAGACGACGCGCGTATCTCTCCTTTCGTCCTCTTCATCGTCGTGAATCGAACGACGAGCTTAAACTTCCGTGGAAATTTGATCATTTTTCTACGAATTGGAAATTTTCAATTAGTTTTACGTAGCGAAATTTGTCATCGAATTTATGATTCGAACACAAAGTCTCGTCGAATAATATATAAATTTCCGTCGCCGTGATAAGAGTTTGATCGTTGAGGATCTCGCACGGTTATCGTGGCGCGACACACGTCTGGTTAACTGGTCGTTGTTTCGAGTATATTTTGCCAAGTGGTGGGACGACACGGGGAGAGGTTGTGTGCACCGACCGTTTCTCTCCCATTAATGTGCAAAATCGTATTTGCAATAGTAAAATACAGTTAAGCAAACACAGCTGCGCCGCATTGCGTTCTCTGAGCGTAGTTAATGGCGGCGCTAGTGCTAGCTTACTCTCCGTCTCTTTACACCTCACTAATTAGTAAATATGTTGCGCTCGTATGTACAGCTTTATAAAGCTGTGTCTATGCCACTGTTCTTGATGATTCGGGATATCGAACGTTCGTTGCTTCCTTCATCCTTTTTCCCCCAATCTCAACTTGCGAACGATCTCGACTTCCGTTTCAACGATCTCGACGATCCGACTTTTCCATTTTTCCTTGTCCTTTGTTCGCATAATACGAGCGTAATTGAAGTAAGAATGGAATCAAAGAAATTTCGGTCGTCTCTCGAGGAACGGTAACGACGTTTCATTGAAGGGACGAAGAATTGCCTCGAGAGTCTGTGGACACGCAACACGGCCCAGCAGGCAGCAGGGGTCGTTAACCGGTGTGTCTCTTTCTTCTTGGGCCGGGACGGATCGAGCATTTCGCGAATCATCGCGGTTACGGACGGTGGATGGGCCGTCGTTCTATGCGCGTCCATTCAGTTGGCGCGCGAATAGCCTGGTGAAAAATCGAGAGGCGAGAAAAAAAAAAAAAAGAAGAAGAAAAAATGTTCGATATTGAAACGGATGGTGGAGAAAGGAAGCGTTGGAGTGTAATGCCAACGACTAAAACTCGTAAATAGAATACAACGCCTTGCCCGGGTATTGTATTTATATTCTCTTTTCGCGACGATTCCTTTTTCCCCGCTCGTCCCCCTCCCAAACAAAATTTATATCCTTGCCCGCTTTCAAACGAAACATCGCGGATCAAAGCGGATCCTATTCGCGGCTGTCGATCGCGGTAGAAAAAAAAAAAATAGAAAGAAAGAAAGAAAGAAAAAAAGGAACACGAACGAATCGAGCGGAATACGTTTCGTTTGTGTGTCGATACGCGACACCGATACGAAGATCGGTTTCAATGATATCTTTCCCCCGCTTTCTTTTAAACTCGCGACGTTACAAGAAAACCTGTCGGGGAGGGGTGGACGGTTGTATACAATAGAACGTTGGAGAGAATAGAGGCGGCGAAAAAATACGGAACAAAAAAAATACGGAAGAAAGATAAAAGAAAAGGGGGAAGAATAAGAGTATTGACGTGTGTATAGAAAAAGGAAAAAACACGATCGTAGCGGGTGGCAGGTACGCATCGCGTGTTTTTATGATTATGTACGTCGCATGACGTCGTCGCGCACCGTCTGGGAGGACTTTCATTGAGCGGACAAACCCCTAGGCACGGATTCGAGAGGAAAAAAAATTGTCGATACGGGGTGGTAGGTAGATAGGTAGGTAGATAGGTAGGTAGGGGTTTGGGCACGAAGCGAAGGGGGGATAGGGGGTGAGAGTGTAGAACGGGCAGTCTGCCAGAAAGGACGGGGCGAAAGGTGGAGGGATGAGGTCCGATCGTGGGGTATGCAATGAAACAGAGAGAGGGAGGAGGGAGGGAGGG